TAGTTGTAAAATTGACCTCTCACCGTTCAAAGATAAAATAAACCTGCTGCTGTGAAATATGCACACACCTATATAAAGAGAACAAGCTACTCTGTCTACAAACAACTTCTTTACCAAAAGATGGTGCATACATGTTACACATAGCGAGATGGTTGTACCAACAAAAGATCCGAAGTTGGAAAAGATTTCTGAACTCTTGTATTCATGTCTGTGTTGCATGTATAACATGAGCCAGAAAATACAGCCACAGATCTGCGGTGACCAGGACTTACACTCCGAAGGAATGCAGAGAAAGAGCTGTGCCTCCAGTATACACCAGTGGCATATTTTTCCTTCTTATTTGAAATTAAATCTGGGATGAAATAATAAAAAAATGCTTTTTACTGCAGCTTTTATTTTTTATTCCTTGTAACTACCAATTGTTTGAGGCTCACAAACAGAGCATTGAAACATTGCCTTTTCATGAATGACGTTCTGTCCAGCCTGCACACAGGGACGTCACTTCAAGAAACTGCCCAGAAGTGCAGGGGAAGATGAGGGGCTGCGAATGAAAACAGAGCTGGAAACAGGACAGCTTTGTTTGCTTCACCAAAACAGAGAACGCAGCACAACTTTTTCCATTCAAACTGGAAGGAAATTTACCAGAAAAAGATAAAATCTCTCTTCTGCTAAAGATCATACAAGCAGCTTCAGACACTTGTAAAAGACGTTTTTGTCCAGGCTGTTGATGAGGAAGCGTTCACTGCCTCCCAGCAGCACCACGGCAGCGCTGGCTAAGGTAACCCTCTTCGGATACACTCGCTGTCGCCAGCCATGGGCTTTTTCCTTCGAGGAAGGCGGAGCCAGGAGCTGTGGCAGGGCCATAAATAAGAGAGTCCCATGCCAGGGAACTCAGAAGTCAGTGAACAGCAGCGTATGCTCAGAGTGAGCGTTAGAGGGCTTTCCTCAACCACCCGCGCCTGTTGAAACCCAGCTGCGCACGACATCAGAGAGCTCTTAGACGTGTAGATACACACCCAACCCTAAGGAGCATTTTCCCTCGGCTGGCTGGTGAGCTGTGCTTGAGGCACCATGCACCCTGCACCCAGTACCGTGTTGCTCCCAGTGCTGCTGCTGCTGACCCACAGACTGGAGGAGCTGGTGGAGGCGTGCAGCTGTGCCCCCGCGCACCCGCAGCAGCTCATCTGCGACGCAGCTCTAGGTGAGTCACCCGGCCCCGGGCTCTACCTCGCATGGACAGTAGGGAATCAGATGGGGCTATCGAACTGCTCCGGTGGCTTTTTGTACAGCAGGTGCCTTGGGCTGTCCGAGGATTTTAAAACAAAGTGACTGCAGAGATGCCTTTTAAAGAGAGGGATATGGAAAAAATAAAATTATAGTAGCTGTTCTGCTTGGCTTGTTTTTACAGAACATTTTGTGGTTACAAACTGCTGAAATTGCTGTATTATTTAGTGCCTTTTTTTTTTTTTTAATGGGAACAGCTTCTAACTTAGCATAAGCAGGGAAGAACATCTGAACTTTGAAATGGCTACTGTTAACAGTATCTGCAATCGAATATTCTATCTAAATGGCTGCTATGTGTAAACTATGCATATATTTTTAATAGTTTTTTTGGGGAAAAACAAACCAAAAACCCAAAATAGAAGTCCCCAGTGATAACATGTTGAAACACTTGATCTTTGTTCTGCTGTACTACAATTTCTTTAATTGGGTGTGGGGTTTTTTTGTCATTTTCCAGAAACACTTGAGCAGGAACTGACGGGCCCTTTATTTTCTGCAGATAAACTGGCTGCAGCAGTTCTGTATAAGTATAACTTTCCAGGCTTTAGGACAGTTGTGTTTCAGGACTGGGGCTGTCAAACAACTTCTAGAAAGAAACGAAACGTCTCAAAATTAGACTGCATGGGGATAAGAAAATGTGACATTTTGCAGGCTTTTGATTTCATGAGCTCAAGCTAAGGCTGGTTAGCATCCATCTAGTGTGAACAGTAAATGTAGAACATGAGTTTCCAAAGTGTCACAAAATTAGCATCTCTATGGGGCAGGCAAGACCTTCTGCATACTGATTAATTGCTTTTATACCCTGACAGAAAATCTTTGTAGCCATGACAAACTCCAAGCTCTGTTTTGTGGCCATCAGTTAAATTGGTTTTTAATCTGCTCCTGTTAAGCAATCTTTTTCCTTGAGTTACCTACACCAGGCAGTACAAACTTGGGGTTGTTTAAGGTGTGAAAGAAAACAGAAGTGCTCCCAGGAGCTTAACTATATATGTATATATTGAACTGCATTACTCTGCTGCGTTCCTATGCATACGAAACTGTCAGATTTTCAACAGACTTAGTGCAGATCTTTTCCTAAATAAACAATTTGACCGTATAGAGGGGGCTCAAAACACTCATTATGAGCCATCTTCCTTAGGGAAACCATTCTGGACATTCTTATGATATATATTAAGATTTATTCTATTCTTACATACATTTTACAAAGGGTAGCTATATGCTGCTTTTAATTTATATTTAAATATACTGAAGATTGTAACATAAAACTCCTTTATATTTGGACTCGATGCTCAAGGTCTCACTTATATAAATATTCCTACTTCAGTAAACTGTACCTTTTGGCAAAGGAACGTTTATAGCAAGGATCCCTTCATTTAATATTTATCATTTTAAAATAGCCTTTCCATATATTATAAAATGATAGAGATGTAAATATTCATTCCTATAAAGATATACATATATATATATATATACACGTATACATATTTTTATACATGCATTGGCATATATGTACATGTAAAGACTCCCCTAAGCATTTACTGGTGAATTATTTGATTTGCTTTGGCCACAAGTCTTGCATAACCAGAGCAAAATGACTCTAAAGGAGCCGGAGAAGACCAGTGGAGTGTCTGCCCTGCATGAGGGCAAACCCCCCTCTCCAGGCTGGCACCGGCAGGTCTCCAACCCCCCTGCCAGCATCTGTTTTTTTCAA